CAGATGTGGGCAAACTGTACACCTCCCTTTGCTTGAACGCTACCGACGGGATGGTTTTCGGTGACTGTCGGCTCACCCACCTAGGCAGCTAGAGAGGGCATAGTGAAGACATCCGAAACGACCTCTCGGGGTTCCTAGATGGGACGAAAGGCGGCGAGGGTCGGGGGTTGGGAATCTGAACTCCCGTCCTTCAAGCCCCAAATAACTCACTGGTGATCATGTGATCTGCATTCCCCATCCCCTCTTCGGCATTGAGGGGTCTGCTATGCGCTTTGATGGCACCAGTGCTGCCCCCACACGCAACACTCTGCCAGAGTTGGGTCTTGAAACAAACCGGGACCAGACAAACATCTTTATCAGGTTTACACAGGATGAGGGCACAGCGGGCACAGCGCAGGCCTGATTCGCTTGGCGCAGCACTGCCTCGTTTCTTGGCCTTGTCTTCCATTGGGACGAGAATGGGTGCGCGAGACTCGATATCTCGTCCGTTTTCCCCCCCATCACCACTTCACTTACAAAATTGCCGTCCCATTAGTTGCCTTCTTGACCTGCGTTTCTGAAGATGCCGAGTAGGTATATAACAGCTGGGCCACCCGGCCTTTTGTTTTGTCAAAAGGACAGCAGTCCAGTCGAAGGGTCCATTGTCTACCCCATCGATTGATAGTTCTTCTGCTTCGGGTATCGACTTGAGGGTTGAAGGCAGTTCCAGGTACGCCGCATCACCAGCTCCCTATTCAGGATACCCGGCGCTTTACAAATATGCGTTTCTTCGGCGTTGTTGCCGTGGTGTCCGTTGGGTCTGCCCTTGTGGTCGGCGGTGTGCTCCCCCGGGAGGAGAAGGTTCGCCCATCACCATTCTAACACTCTTCGACACCCACTTACGTGTCAGGCCGTTGATGAGCCCGCCACCGACAATGCTATAGCCCTCGATGTCTTCAGCACAACCCCCTACACCGAAAGGGCCACGGCTCAGGCGCCCCGCAGGAAGGTTGTTGGCGAGAGAGAGGACTCCGAGGTCATCAAGACATCAGCCTCCGTTAGCGCTGGGGCTCCTGCGCCTACCGCGACCTTGGTGGGTGGCCTCGTTCCGTGGCTTGCTTTCGTGGCTGATAGTGTTGAAGAACAGTGTTGTCGACTTGTCCCCAAACTTGGATAAAGGTAAGCAAATATGTGGCTCGCCCGCCCTCCCCTGTGTCTGACCTTTTGCGTTGTTTCAGCTGTAGCATCGCTCATCCCTAGCGAGCATTTCGAGGGTACGCCCGGGGTGTCATGAGCGCGGTGCAACATTGCTTGATGATTGCTAACCAAGAATTTGCGAAAATCGAAATCAACACCAATGAGGGTGACAATAGCGCTCTTGTTGAGCCCGGTCATAACCACTTGACCGATGGCGAGGGCGATGCGTCCGACAAACCCAGCATCTGGGATCTGGTCGGAGGGCTCAAAGAATACCTTAACCTCATCCTCTTCTTTTTCATCGTTTGGGCAGTCTTCCGAAAACATGGCGTCAACGGCCTTCTAGCCTTGTTCGTAGGCGGCGGCGGCGGTGTTGCTGCTGCTGAGGGCGGTGATCCGGGAGCGCGAGATGGTGGGGGGCCGACGGTAAACCAGAACACCGTCAACAACAACATTCTTTTCACCCGCGAGGCTCTTGATTTCATCCATGCTGCAAGCATCCTGACTGGGCCCATCCCGGGAGCCTTGGCGACGGACCTTGAGCTTGGGGATATCGGGACTCAGCATGACACGAACCTGCCGCAGCTCGAAGCCACCCCGGTTGAACTCGACTCGTCCATCACCCAAGAGGTTGCATAGTCGAGAAGTACATCGGGGTTGAACATAGTCTACCAACCCATTTGAGCTCTTCACGCCGCAGCCTCAGTTTTTTTTTTCGGCTTGTGGTTCATATTCCTGTTTTTTTTGGCGAGGCGTTGGCATTGGCGATGGTACACGTGAGGAGTCGGGGTAAACGAGCGGGTATTGGTCTTGGAAACGCAGTAATGATGTTGGTCTGTCAACGAAGTAAAATATCATGTGGTTTTTGGAGGGAATTGCATATAGCAAATAGACTGGGAAGGTTGGGTTGTTGTCATTCGCAATGTCACACCAATCACGTGGAAATTACCTAAGCTGCCATCCAACAACTCTCCAAAGCAATCAGATGGAGTCTCGGCATCGCCAAGGATTTTCCACGCGCGGATCTCCCGCACGTCGCATCTGCCCGCAGACTGCGGACCCGCCCTTTTGGCCTGGAAGTTCGAGCTCCAACTGCTAACGAAGGCCTAAGAACCTCCCTTTTCTTTTCAGGATGAGTGCACAACAGAAATGATCCGTTCTGGTATTCGGTGCCTGCTGGAGGCGGTTGGATGGGCACCATCTCATTCTGGAAACCAATATTCAATACTTTTCCCGCGTGTTGTGACCAACAGCGTCTGACTGCAGTAGCACCACCAGGTTGAGACATGCGGATGCTCCCCAAAGGGCTGACCCACGAGCCTGGATTGCCCACCCCAAGCTTTGGGCTTCCCGTGTCTTTCAGGGGTTCGCCACACCGGTCTTGGCATATGGTCGTCCCACCTAAGGGGTCACTCACCCATGAACACATATGACGCCGTAGCTAGCTCATACTCTTTGTCCAACCTCACCAGCGACATCTCGCCGTCCGCTCATTCTGACATTCTCTTGCGCCCGCCGGCTCGCTCATCATGCCGAGCGTCGACTCTCTTCTTTTCAACATTTCTTCGTTTTTGGCGGGGCTATTTCTTCTCGAATATGGCGCCGACAAGTTTATCGACCACACGGCCATTGTTGCCAAGAGACTCAATGTCTCCCCTACGCTCGTCGGTCTTTTGACCTGCGGTGCGGAGTGGGAGGAGGTGCGATGCCTGCAACTCATCGTCGATTCTGCAGTACTCATTGTAGACAGCTTGTTGTCATTGCCGTGGCCTTGAGCCAGAAAAACTCCAACCTCGCTCTGGGTAACCTGATCGGGTCATCCATCGCCAACATCCTGGCGTCTTTTTCGCTGGGGCTGCTCTTCATGGACAAGGTCCAGTTCGATCGTAGTTCGAAGATCTATACCGCCGTTCTTTTAGCCAGCACATCGGCCTTCCTCGTCCTCCTCACCACCATCACCCCGGGGTTTCGATTGGTGGCCGGCGCTCTACTCATCACAGCCTTTGTCGTCTACGTCGGATCAGTAGCGACGTTTATTTACCGAGGGACACTCACTGCTCCGGAGAACTCAGACTCGGACTCGGACGGCTCAAGTTCCTCTGACAGTTCATCTGACAGCTCCGACTCGGAGTCGGAGCCTGAATCATCAGCCCCTTCCACCTCTGAACCCTCTCCCCGGCGCTGGAGCTCTGAAAAGGGCTATCCACTCTCGCCTTTGAACAACCCAAAACCCAAACGACAATCGTCCAAGCCAAAGGTCATCAATAAACGCCCCAAGCCCCTCCGCTATCACCTGTTCCGTCTTACGCTCGGCCTTGCTGCCCTGCTTGTGTCAAGCTACATCATCGCCCATTCAGCGTCGACCATTGGTAATGAGCTTCAGCTGTCGGGCACTGTGGTCGGCACCACGATCCTCTCACTTGCGACAACTCTCCCTGAAAAGTTTGTTGCCATCTTGGGCGGTGTGAGAAAACAGCCGGGCATCATGGTGGCCAATACGGTTGGATCCAATATCTTTCTGGTTACGCTTTGCGGGGGCGTGTTGTTCATCTGGGGAGACGCAGAGGCGTTGAGGGGCGCGGTGACGGTATTTGAGCTGGGAGTTATGTGGTTCTCGGCAGTGGTGATCCTAGGAGTGGTGTTGGTAGGCGGGAGGAGATGGGTAGGGGGTGTGCTAGTAGTGGCATATGTTGGGTTTTTGGTACTTGAGATACTTGGAGGGAGGGAGGTGGACGATTAAGTTTGTGATCACGGAAGAGGCGGAATAGCGTTTGGATGCCATCCGCCTTGGGGAGTGTATATGGGGTAGATTTTTGAGGAGGACTTTCAGTGAAGTAGCTCTCACTAGTTAGCGGTCACAGATCGTATAACTATTTGGAATGGGCTCGTTCGGCGCCCTAGGTGTCAGGCTTTGGTGGACTTAACCGCCCCTCGCTTTTTTGTCACATCACTTCTCGACAATGTGGCTCTAGCACTCTTCGCCTTTGCCCGGCGACAGTTAAATCATGTCAATGGGTTAGTTAGCACAACGGGTATGAGTACGTGCTAGACAGGTCGCATTTAAAGTTGACGGACTTGCAGAAGAGATGCCCAATTCATTCCGAGGATCCGGCGCTTTTTAGCATACTATATACACCTTCATGAGCCAACATTGGTGTATTTGTTCACCCTTCAACACCTATACAACCCCAGGGTTGCGATGGCCATCAACACCCGCATCTCCTCATCGCCCAGCTTCACAAATTCACAACCGTCTACTCCTCCTCAACAGGAAAAGCAAAATGCCAACATACACAGCTATTGAAACCGAAGGATTTTACCTCACAGGTTCAAACTGCGTGTCCCCATGGCAAGGACAGCTTGCCGAAAGACACCAACCAGTCAGCAACCTGCCCACACCATGTCTGGCTGTTGGTTCCACGTGCATCATCCCATCTGCATACTACGAGAAATCTGCGACTATAAGCTAATAATTTCAGCCACCAATGCTCCCAAAGCGGGCGTGACCGCTCCTTCACACCCGTTTTCAGCCTGGCCATCGCAACATGCAGCGCCCGGTCTAGGCTTTTGTCCCTCTCCCCCGCAACCCAGCTTGGATTAGCCCCGACCGAGGGAAGATAGGCACCTACATTTTCTCTTCTTCAACGCAGCTCCCGCGGCATGGTGGTGAACCTCCCTTGACGAAAGAAGAGAACAAGTTGTCTCTGTGGACCCACTCCAAGACGGGATGGTGCCCTGAAGCGGAGAGGTCATGATCCACGCACAAAGTGGCACTTGAGACGTTTAGCGAAGCTGCGATTCCAACCAATTGGTCAACCACGTCCGGTTTTATAGTGTAGCGGTTATCACTCCGGATTCTGACTCGTTTGATACAGTCTCCTTCCGGCAACCCCGGTTCGATTCCGGGTAAGACCTGAACATTCGTCGTTCTTTTTGCTTCGTCTTCCCGTCCGTACGGGACGGGACGGGACGGACGGAGCTCTGGTGCTACACAAGGCACTGCTTGACCAAAGAAAGCTTTTGGGATGTAAGCTGCAGCACCTTGCATATTCTTCCCTAGTGTCCCATCCGACAAAAGGATGGTACATACATTTTGCCGAGGGGCTCCAGGCCACCATGTCAGACCCTGCATGAAGCTTCCCGTCTTCCGTTGCGTGGGGACGCGGTACTGGGAGGAGGATTGCAGCGTGGTGCCATTCCAACCCCTCGGCATGGTCTTTTGGGGATGGCACCGAAGCCAGCTTACGCCGTACAATGGGGATGGGTTGGTGTATATATCTACCGCCGAAACCCGGGGATGAGCTTTCGGTATTGCGCCGTGACTTGGTGATCATCTTCGGGGTCACGCGACCATCTGGCGACAGCACTCGAGCTGAAGCATCGGGAGTAACCATGGCCTCAACCAACCCTCCTATCCAGGAGACGCCCCCTCCGACAGCGGCCGAGACCTCTCCAGGCGAGAAAAAGGCCGCCTTTGTCGATGTCTCCTCCGTCCGGGACGAACCGACATCCTCCTCCGGCCTGTTCTCCCGGTTCCGTTCCCGGTTCTCCGTCACCCCGGCTACCGGGACGCCGGTATACCGACCCCGTCCACCCCCATCCGGCACCTCAACCCCAGACTCACGAATCCTCCGCTTCCTCAAATTCCTCGGTCCCGGCGCCATCATCAGCGTAGCTTACGTCGATCCCGGTATATCTCCCCATCAACCACCCCCCCTTCTCAACCCCCACAACTAACAAAAACCCCAGATAATTACCAAACTGCCATATCCTCCGGCTCCTCCTTCCAATACAAACTCCTCTTCATGGTCCTCGTCTCCAACATCATCGCAATCTACATCCAATCCCTCTGCGTCAAACTCGGCACCGTAACCGGCCTCGACCTCGCCCAGCTCAACCACCGCTACCTCCCCCGGTGGCTGGACCTCGTCATCTACGCCGTAGCCGAAGCCTCCATCATCGCAACCGACCTCGGCCAAGTCATCGGGCAAGCGATCGCGCTCAACATCTTGATTCCCAAACTCCCGCTCCCCGCGGCGTGCGTCTTGTCCGTCCTCGACACGCTTTTGATCCTGTTATTCTACTCCCCCACCGGCGAACTCCGCCGCGTGCGTCTGTTCGAGATCTTTGTCGGGTTGCTTGTCGCCGCTGTTTTCGTCACCCTCTGCGTGGTGTTATCCATGGTTGACGCCCCCGTCGGCGCCGTGTTCAGGGGGTACGTACCCTCCCGCGAGATTTTTGTCGACGAGGGGCTGTATGAGTCCTGCGCGATGCTGGGCGGGACGCTGATGCCGCATGCGTTGTATGTCGGTACGGCGCTGTCGCGGACACGGTTGCACGATTATGATTCCAAGTCCGATGTCGTCGTCAGCAACAACACGCCAGAGACAAGCACCGAGACGTTGGCGCCGTATCGACCTAGCCTCGGCGCTATCAAGGCTTGTATGGGGTATGCGATTGCCGAACTGACGGTTACGTTGTTTACGGTTGCGGTGTTTGTCAATTCGGCGCTGGTGATTATTGCGGGCAGTGCGTTTTATCATGCGTCTGATGGGGATGGGGATGGGGATGGGGATGATGAGACAGAGATTAGTTCGGATCTGTATGATTTGTTTCATCTGTTCAGTGAGACGATTGCGCCGGTGGCGGGGATATTGTTTGCTGTGTCGTTGTTGTTTTCGGGGGTGAGTGCGGGTATCGTGAGTACCATGGCTGGGCAGATTGTGATGGAAGGGGCGTTCAATATTCGGGTTTCGCCGTTTTTAAGACGTCTCATCACGAGATGTGTGGCGATTATACCGGCGCTGATTATTGCTGTTTCTGTTGGGCAGGAGGGGTTGTCCAAGGCGTTGGTGGCGTGTAATTATTTGCTCGCCATCGCGTTGATTCCGATTACTTTTCCGTTGGTGTTTTTCACGGGGTGGAGTAAGGTTATGAAGGTGCCTGGGGACGAGGGCACCGGAATGGTGGATTTAAAGAATGGGATTGCGGTGGCGGTTATAGCGTGGTTGTTGTGGGTGTTGGTGGTGGTCATGGATGTTGCGACGATTGTGCTGGTTGGGTTGGGAATCACCGAGGATGATGGATAGAGAAACACTGTGGTTGTAGATTGTTCAAGCCGTTGGCCAACATTATACAAGCTATGCTTGAGATACATATATTCGCCGGGGCCATCCCCTAGGGAGTGTTCTTTGCCTGCGTCCAAAAGGTGTCCAGTTTCCTTGATGTCAGAAACTCCCTCGCCTCCTGGTCCGTTTCGCAGACTTTGGTGCCCCATTTCTTGAATGCGTGTGTCTTGACCTCGCCCTCGAAGAGGAGGACACACTTGTTCGCCGACATGTCCTTGAGCTGTCCCTTTTCATCCTCTGCCTTGAGCCACTCCCGCGCTCCACCGCTTGGCGTTGCAGTCGTCACGTCCTTGTCGCGCGACGGTAATGCCTCTGTCCAGTCTATCCTCCGTGTCATAAGTTTCTTGTAGTTGTTGATGCTGTGCTCACCGCCCTCTACAAGAAGGAGTGAGAACTTTGGGTTCATGATGCACACGCCGCAGAGTGCGTTTTGCGTGGCGTTGACGTTGATCTTGTAGCGATGCTGCCCGTTGGCTAGGCTGTTAATCTTGAAAACAAGCATGTGAATGCCGCGCGCTTCGTCCTTGGCCTGGTTGGATGCAACCTTTTCTGCCCGTTGCTCCTTGGTAAGCTTGCGCTCCTCGTTGGTCGCCATGTGCTGGTCGAAGCGCGCCTGAATCTGGGCGTTGACACGCGCCTCGACTGCCGTCGGATCCTTGACTGCTTCCTCTCCAAGCACACGCATCAGGTTGGACTTTTTGACCTTGGGCGGCGGGGGCTCGACAAGACCGAGACGAATCTTGGCTTGTTCCTCCTTGAGGTTCATCAGGCGGCGTTGGCGCCGGAGCTTCTTCTGCTCTTTGGGTGTGAGGTACATGGGTTTCGGCTCAGGCGCCAGTTTGTCCTGCGGTGGCTCAATCGCTACGGGGTGTTGGACGTAGAGAGTTATGATGCTATCGGGAGTGGAGAGCTTGATGGACTGAGGGATGTTGCTGTAGTCTTTGCCGTCGATCAGACCCTCGTCCCACCACTCCAGGTCCGGAGGAGCTTCGACCGAAAAGGCTTTCTCGACATCACGGTCCTCGTCTAGCCCTGCTTTCCGCGCCTGGTCTGCGATCCTCTTCTTCATGGCCTCAAGGGCCGCTTGGCGTCTGAGCGCATTAGCCTGTTGGATGTATTTGCCCTTTTGATTGAAGATGAGCTGTCGGGGCTGCCTCGTCTTGCCGGTAGGCTGCCCATGGCTCGGCTCGAGGTATGGGTTGACCTGTGTGCCGTCGGGGCCCGTCTTTTTCTTTGGCGCTCTGTTGTCGTGCCCTGCATTGCGAGAGGATGAAGGAAGCGAGCTTGGTGGTTTGATCGGGGCGCTGAGGTCGGCGAGGACGGGGTGGAGAGGAGTGTTGAGTCCACCTTTTGCTTTGGCAGAACCAACAGCTGCTGCGACGCGGGCTTTCAGCGCCGCCATCCTGTCGGCAGCCGACTCAGGCTTCTGGATTCTCGACGACTGGTCATGGCGGGGGCCAAGCCCGCCGAGTTGATGGGCCCGATCCATGATGGGCGATCGCGATGGTGTCGGCCGTTGTGATTCGAAACAAAGTCGCTTGTAGTTGGGATATCGTTTGCGAACCGCGGGAAACTTCGATGTGGTGCGGAGTGTTGCCTGGTTGATGACGCGACGCCGTTGATTGATCTCGGCTCAGCTTGGGTTTTGGAAGAAGCTCGGCTTGGCACACGCTCGCGGCAGGCTGGTCGTTGGCAGATCCCAGTTGCATGGGCGCCCCACATCAAAAGTCTTGCCGATGCTCACCGCCAAAAAATATTCTCGAGCTCCCCAAGCAATCCCCCGCCAACCACCCAATGCGAAGGCTGCGATCCGCTTCTCGGTTGCGACCAGTCCCCTACTTCAAAACGCCTTCACCACCACAATTTGTCAGTTATTGACTAGGAACTGCCATGGGGAACTGGTAACGCGTTCTGCTACCAAATTTCCCCACAATGAATATTTCCCAGCCCGTGGCCTCCGCTCTGGAGAGCGTCGAGTTCACGTTTCTTACACCCGAGGAAATCCGATCCATCTCGGTGCGAAAGATCGAAACTGACACTACTTTTGACACCTTGAATAACCCTGTGCCGGGTGGCTTGTATGACCCGGCGCTCGGCTCTTGGGGCGACGCGCTGTAAGTGACTGAGACGAAGAAATCCATCTTCTGTTTCCAATTCAAGGCAAACTGACGCCGAGGTAGCTGCACAACATGTAATCTCAACCAGGCCCAATGCCCCGGTCACCCCGGTCACATTGACCTCCCTGTCAGCGTCTACCACCCAGTCTTTATGGACCAGGCCTACCGACTACTGCGATCGCAATGCGTTTACTGCCACCGCTTCCGTCTCCCGCGGAGAGAGATCCACCGATATGCCTGCATGCTCAAGCTCCTTCAGGTCGGCCTACTCAAGGAGGCCCAGATGATTGACGCCATCAACGAGAGCGATCTTAGCGAGGCCATTCGAGGCTTGACTTTGAGCGACGTGCCCCAGGTGGAGAACGACGAGGCCCAAGAGGAGGGTAACAACGTCCAGGACAACATCATTCGCTCCCGGGAACGCTATGTGCGCGAGATACTCCAGAAGAACAGGCAAGAAATTAGCCTCGGGACTATCAGGAAAGGAAAGCATGAGGGCGCCTCCGAAATGAGACGAGCCCTCATCAAGGAGTTTCTTGGAAGGATTGTTCTGGAAAAGTCGTGCAAGTCGTGCGACGGCATTTCGCCTGCTTACCGCAAGGACCGCTACGTCAAGATTTTCGAACGAGACCTCACTGAGAAGGAAAAGGCAGCCATGATCCAGGCGGGG